AACCTGAGCTGTTTCCATGTGATCTCTCCATGTGGTGTTTTTCCTTAAATGCTTTTTGTGTGTGTGTGATGTTGCTAAGGAAATGCTTCTGGTCCCAGTAGGAATGAGTAGTTTATATTTTTTTTTATCTATCGTTAAAACATGCTGATGAAGAATCTATCTTACTAAAAATATTTTAGAATTTCTTTAAAAAAGGTTCATTCAAGTACTTTTGCAAACCACCTTTTTCCGGTCAAGAACCATGGGCTCGGACATAGAGGTGCTAATTCTCATCCCAGCAACTGCAAACCGCCCCAGTGCATGCTGCAGGTCCTGGTTCAAAGAGGCCAACAAGACCACATCATCCGCAAAAAGCAGAGATGAAATCCGGTGGCTACCAAACTGGACCCCACCCGACACCAGGCTCGCCTAGAAATTCTGTCCATAAAAATAATGAACAGAACCGGTGACAAAGGGCAGCTCTGTCGTAGTCCAACATGCACCGGGAACAGGTCCGACTTACTGCCGGCAATGCGAACCATGCTCTCTCTGCTATCATATATGACAAAAAAAAAACCCAAAAAATATTTACAGGTAGATGTCAGTGTTTCATATCGGTAGTTGTGACTAAGCTGGATGATGGGATTATAAATATATTATCCGTTACCAGGTCGCGGGAGCAGCAGTCTCCACGACCACCACCTAAATCACACTGCACCGTACCAACCCCTCGTGAACCTTCTATCTCTATCTGTATCTCTTCTACAAAGTAAATGGACAGTGGAATGATTGAATATATACATATATAAATATGTAGTGTGTTAAAATGCATACATTTTTTTTTCATATTTGATTCATCTCAGAAAGTTATTCACACAAACGACAGTTATTGGGGCTAGTGTAACAGATAATTTGAAGAAAAACCTTATTATTCCACGTTTCCCTGACTTTGTCATAAAAATGAATAGATCTCAATTTTAATACAAACATGACGCTGGAAAAAGTACTTAGTGATTATTTTATTGACTGAGAAAGTTGCCTCATACCATTGACTTTCACTGTGTGAAAATCGAAAAAACAGGAATAATAAATCTTACTTTGCACATTCTGCCAACGTTTCCCTTCAGAAAACGGATGAAAAGCCACTTCACACACTTGTAACCGACTGATAAACAGGCAAAAACGAGCCTGAACGGATCCAAAATGGTTCCCCTGGTTGTATCACCTGCGTATGAGAAAGCTATGCTTGACATGGATGGTGACAAAGTTACAAAGTTGTGAAACAGCGTCACAATAAGCCATTTGTTACAGGGTGAGGTGACCCATGCCGCTGAGCCACAGGACGTCCCAGAGCTGATCGAACTGCGTCTTTACTTCACATGACTTTATTTTTACACCGTTCTAACAAACATGTTTAGTCAACTTGACCACAAGGAGTCGCTGCTCTCTTTCGGTCACTAGTCACATGACTTGAATGGATCAGTTCACTTTGATACCACTTGGGGTGGTCACGGCACAACAGCCTGTGTGTAAAAAGTTACCCTGAAAAATGTGTGGAAATGTTTAAAAAAAAGTGACATGAGCTTTTTTTCATATATTTATTAGTATCGATACTAAATGAGCGTAATTGATATTGTATCGACATTCGGATCGTATCGATATATTGATACATGGAGTCGATCACTCATCCTCATAATCATTGTACAAATTCCGATAAGTCCGATATTGCCACAAATAACCTAGATAATATTTAATATATTTTTGATTCAGTCGCTCCGAGCGCCCCCAACTCCTACCGTATCGTATCGCTACATCGATACCATCGATTCAATCACTCAACCTCATAATCATCATTGTTCTTTGAAAATCTAAACCTACAGTTGAGAGTTGACTTTTATTGTGAAATCGCGATCAGCCGTCGTTGTCTTGACGACTCATCGTTGTTACGTTTACTGTTGCCGTAATCCTATTAGCTATCCAAAGAGGAGTCTGTTGTGAGTGTGGGGTCCGGGTTAGTCTGGAATATATTCCGTGATTACAGCTTTCAGGTGGAATGAAAGACAAGTGTGAGTCACCATTTTGACTGACTTTGACTGAGTTAAAAAAATGTTGAAAAAAAGTGTTTTTATGTGTTTTTAGGCATAAAAATAAGAACTAATTTGGTTCTGTTTTTATACACCAAATTTTCTCTTTGAATGTTAACACAATTATTCTGCAGTTGCAAAGGTTGACCACTGTATGGCAGTGTTGGGTGATTCTCAGGCGTCCACTGTAGAGGCTTATATGCAACACTGCCATCAAAACATATTCTTATCATAGAAAATGACATTTTTATAGAGGTCCACTGTAGTGACCGTCATGCATGAAAGGGTTAATATTAGTAACCAAAAAAACAAAAAAAAAACAAACAAAAAAAACACACAAAAGGACATATTTCATTGAGAGTGTGCCAAGCTGATAGAATTGTGGGAACGGTGGGATTCACACCGAAGGTTCTCTCATTGTTTTCATCTGACCTTTGTTTGGGGCTCTTCTCAGAGGTTTTTGGCTTTGTGAATATTGGCTTCGGCTCAGCTTGGCATCAGCTGCGATGATGAAAACATGTGGCTTTGAAATCGTGGGATGGAGTGAAAATAAAGTCGGATCAATAATTATTTTTCTGCAGGTGGAGGAAAAGGGAGAGAGAGAGAGAGTGAGAGTCAGAGAGCGAGTGAGAGTCAGTAATGGCTTAACTTTAACTGCTCCTCACAGGCTCCAATAATTCAATGTCAAGTGGGAGTGAAAAGAGTTGGTACGAGGTACATTTTCTGCCCCTGTTGTGAAAACACATTTTCAAAATTTTATTTATTTATTTGCCAGTGGTTTTGTCACCGACGCAGCTCAGAGAAAATACATAATGTAGGAAGGAGAGTTGACCATAATGCAGAGTTGACATTTTGTGACACTGATGATTTTTGCCCCTCCATCTGCACCTTTTTAATGCCCCAGAGCCTTGTTAGAACAGCGTTATGGTAATATTTAATCTGCTGGGTTTCCACTGTTGGCCCACATCCAGCTGACGATGATTTAAGGATCACTGGGAGCTTTTAAAAATAGTTGCCCAAGTTCCCACACATTAAACCAGGGGTGTCAAACATACGGCCCGGGGGCCAGAACTGGCCCGCTAGGTTGTTCAATACGGCCCGCTTGTTGCTTTAAAAAAAATAGACAAACACATATACACATGTTCAGGGTATTGTTTTTGTATAATTATATTTAATTAAATATGCATAAACAAAAATAAATATCAAATATACTTGTAATTCTTTGCATGAAAACAAATGAGGAAAAACATGGACTCAATGTGATTCTTGGTTAATTACATTATGATCGTACTGGTCCGGCCCACTTGACATCTAATTGGGTTGAATCTGGCCCGTGAACCAAAATGAGTTTGAGATCTCTGCATTAGACTGTACAGCAGGTTGTTCTCACACATGGAGGCAATTACCGATCTAACATAGAACTGAACTGCAAAAAAAAAAAAATTTGCACAATAATCACCTCTACTGATGCAGGCATTTGACCTTTGACCTCATTCAGAAATAATTAGCCAAAAAAAAAAAAGCTTCTATATTTAACCTGAAATCTAATGTGAGGTGTACGACAAACCAATGTCTAATGCAGCGATTCTTAACTAGGGATGTCCGACATTAACTTTTTGCCGATATTGTCCAAATATTTAATTTCCAACGATCGATCTGGTAATATTTATTTATTTATCTTTACAAACCGCTCTATAGAGTTGCTAGCACCAGCATTCTGTGTACAATCTCCTGATTATTAAAAACCAATAATAAAGTGAGCTGCAATGCTGCCATCTAGTGACTTTCACTTTGATATACAGCTGTTTTTCCCCAAAACTATTTTCAGAGCACACATCATTTGGCGAAACCATGCATAGCCTTATCGGGTTTTGATTATCGGACGAAAAACTGATAATGATTCTTACGGATTTTACATAATTAGGCTAATATCGGGCCGATATTATCGGTCAACCGATCTTAATTTTTTTTGTTTTAAAACCATTTTGTTACAGCAGGAGGACCGGGCCGTGCATAGCGTTATCGGGTTTTGATTATCGGACGAAAAACTGATAATGATTCTTACGGATTTTACATAATTAGGCTAATATCGGGCCGATATTATCGGTCAACCGATCTTCATTTTTTTGTTTTAAAACCATTTTGTTACAGCAGGAGGACCGGGCCGTTCTTTTATCGCTTTCACCTCAGTTTAAAGTCTAAATGCTGCATGCTTACAGTGCAGGAGCTCTCAGAGTGATGAGGTCCTCAGACTGCAGCAAGGGCACAGTGTGTTCTGTTGATATAGTCTGTGCAGCAGAGAGCAGGAAGAACGCCATACCTCAGTCTGGAGGGAGTTCAGCCTCAGATGTTCGTCTCAGGAGCCTCGCCATCTTAACTTCGGCTTTTCATCCTGTGTCAGAACACGCCTCGCGAGACCACGTGGCGTTCCATCTTTGAAGGCCAACTAGCACCTCACTTACACCAAAGCAGCTCCCAGAGGGAGGCGTGGGAGAAGCACAAACATCAGCGCCTTCATTTTAAGAAAAGAAAACACGCAAATACTGATGAAGAAAAAAAAGGAAACGTGATTAAAATGTCATAATAATGGACATAAGCATTAACAGCTTTTTAAGCCAGTTCATGCATTTTTAATTATAGGTAGCTAGGTTTTGTTGGTGTTAATGAGGGATTCTTTGGGCGAGTACTTGTAAACAACCCTTTCTTAAAACCTCTGATGTTGACTTTGTACACCGAACGAAACAAGCTGTTTTCTTGCCACCACTGATGTTTTTATTTTACATCAGCTGTGGAATTTGGCCCAGAACTCGGCCACTTGTCGCGCTAAATCATCAGAAAGCAATTCATACTGGAAACACCACTGGGACTTGATCCAGAGTTGCTGGTATCACACGTCGAGGATGTCGCGACGTCGTGTTGTATCACACTTCGGAACTAAGACTACAACCTGTGATGTTCCATTAGAAATCCACTTGATACTGTGTGATGTTATTATCAGTTTTTCGTACCAAAAACTGATCATCGGTCCCAGCCAATCACTGTTAAAGGATCATTAAGGATTGGTACTTTTTTTTTTCTTTTCAGACTATTCTGTTAGTATCAGAGTCTGAAATCATCTTTAAGTCAGTGATCATAAAGTGACCCACCAGATCGTCCAATCCAGCCCACGAATGGATTTCCAAAATTAATATCAAATAATAATTATAAGGTGTTTTGATCGGTTCATTTTAACTTCCTTACCAGTGTATTCATTTGGATACCTCTTTTTTTGGCACTATCATGCTGCTCAGCTGTACGCTGTACGTTGAATTGCCCCTCGGGGACAAATAAAGTATTTCTGAATCTGAATCTGAATCTGAATCTGTATATCCAAAAAAGAATCTGTGCGTCCGAATATAATGGGCCACTTCTGGTCTATTTAATAAAGTGAATTAGAATTTCTTTCATTGAGGCCCAGTACCAAAGGACTCCTGGTTACTCCTGGTCTGTGAACCAGGGATTGGGCTCCCATGATTCATAGTAATCTCTATGATGCATTGTCTTCTCCCTCACTAGTTACACGATATTTCACGGTCTTTCTGTGGACTTGTTCTAGTTGTAAAAAAATCACATGTCACGTTGCTCTATGACAAACCGACACTGTGCATCAGCCTCATCCTAATATTCATCCTATTCATTCCTTTACCATCCGTGGCACACGGATGAGCTGAAAAAGATCTGTGGTTGACTGTATCGTTGTTGTTCCTGCATGCAAATGAAGGATTCCACTCCCCTGTGAAGAGTAAACATGCAGGGAGTGATGGGAAATCTGCAAGACGCAGGCTGTGGATCAGGTGATTTAATGAGTCCTGTTGTCGTCGTTGTCTTTTAGCTGCAGCTGAGTGTTGTCTGCATCTGTGCACCGGTTCATTTCAAAGTTAATTGTTTATTTATTTATTTTTTTTTACGACAGCAGGGAGAAGAACTTACCAATCGTTCTTCAAGTCTTCTTCAGTCAATATGGAGGAGATAACAACTGGTTTCCACATAAGAAAAGACATAAGACAAATTCATAGTTACTTGATGTCTAAATTAAACTTTAGTGACACACTGTGGTCAAATAAAAAAGATGGATTCTTCCGGATTCCAGTAATTCTCAAACTGTGAGCGCTCTCTAGTGGTACGTGGGGAAAATTCACATTTTCACATTCACATTTTCAATTGAATAAATCTGAAACATACCCTGCTTAATTAATACAACACTTAGAAAAATATATATTAAAAAAATGTGTAGCTAGTTGTGAGATTATGAAACAGGATGTCTAGTCCTTTGATTTATTCACTTGGTTTTTTTTTTTGCTGCAATGCAAGTCTGTTGCTCACTTAAGCACAGGCAGCACGGAATCATGGAATCACTTGCAAGTTGAACGTTGAACAAGCAGGGGTGGTACAGAGTATAAAAAGTTTGAGAACCACTGTTTTATTCTATTCTATTCTATTCTATTCTATTCTATTCTATTCTATTCTATTCTATTCTATTCTATTCTATTCTATTCTATTCTATTCTATTCTATTCTATTCTATTCTATTCTATTCTATTCTATTCTATTCTATTCTATTCTATTCTATTCTATTCTATTCTATTCTATTCTATTCTATTCTATTCTATTCTATTCTATTCTATTCTATTCTATTAACTTCTCTGTAGAACTCCACCAGGCCTTCAAAGTCTTCGACCATACTGGGGATGGCTTCATTTCAAAGGAGGAACTGGGGGTGGCCATGCGCTCCCTGGGCTACATGCCAAATGAGGTGGAGCTGGAAATTATCACCAAGAGACTGGACATGGACGGTAAGGAAAATACAATTAGCCCAACTAACCTAACTAGCCTAACTAACTACCCAACTAACTAACTTTCTCGTCTCTTCAAAGGCAATGGCCAGGTGGACTTTGAAGAGTTCATCGCTCTTCTTAGTCCCAAGCTGACAATAGTATTACCGGAAAGGTTCAACGGCACTGACTTTGACTCTGTCTTCTGGAAGGTGCTCGTTATTCAGCCGTTCATTTTCACCTAATTAGAAGAAACAGATGATTGTACAGCAGAAATACTCAGACTCTGACACTTAAACCATTAAACCAGTTTTAATTGAGAAAATCCACAAACCTACTTTGTTATGGTGAAAATGTAATCTTGGAGTTCTTACAAGAGACATATAAGCACATTCACCCACAATGAGACAAGTCTTTTTTTTTTTTGCAAATTTATTTACACATTAGTAAATTAGTTTTAAATTTAAATTCATGAGAAAAATACAAGTTACTTTGGTTTCTGTTTCTACCTTCACATTCTTACATTTATATTGGTCGCTCCACATCAGGCACTTCTTCATAGATACTGTACGTTTGTCTGTTTGTCTGGTGGCCTGTGTCCGAAGCTCATGTTTGATTCCGCGTCTGTCTGTAGAGTGACACGCAGAAGATGTCGTTGGAGGAACTGAAGAACCTTCTGTTCAACAATTTCAATGAGCACCTCTCCATGAATGACATCGACAACATCATCATGACGGAGGAGAACCACAGTGAGAGCCCTACACCCATTGATGTGGATATAGACGGTAAGGAAAAACTCTCTCTTTTATAATCACGCAACTCTTTTATATATACAGCAGGAGAATTCATTTTAACCACAGTCTGGCTGGTAGCTGGTACAGACTGGTGCACTGGTGTGTAAAAACTGCATAGTTAATGTGTCAAACTTACACCAGGTCACTTTCCGTGGCCCACCAGAGTTTCACATATGTATACTTGTCTTAAGGTCTGTACTGATGTGTACTTGACAAGTCAAATACTGCATGTGTAACAATTGCGTAGTGGGTAACTCGTTAGCGCAAACAACATTCCTTACAGCTCTTACAAATCTTACAGCTCACATTTTACACATAACAATATATATATTTTTTGCTTTAATATTTCAAATTGGATTTCTTATTTATTTTAATGAGGAAAACATATAGTGCAGTCTGTTCAAATACTTCATTTCTGGTTAAATCGTCACCAGAACTTGATGGTGAACCTGCCCATAACTTAGACTAGGTTTTAAATTTCAGCCCATGGAATAATTGAGTTTGACCACCTCTCCAACATGATTTAAACCAGTGTTTCTCAAACTTTTTTTATGGGTACCTTTATTCAAAAAGTCACAAACCTTCACGAACCAAGTCAATAGACATTATTCGTAAACTCCTGGAAAACATGATGCGAGACGACCCATAAAAAAAAAAACCTCTTGCGACCCAGCTGAGGATCACGACCCAGTCTTTGGGAAACAATGGTTTAAAGAATCAAATTTTCCAAAAGTCTTCAGGTGTGCTAACCTTTCCTGGAGTCGTGTTGTTTTTTTATATATGGTCCTCAGGTGTGAGAAAATCTGTTGATTATAAACCCTGACTGTTGATCTTGACTGTTAACAGACCATGAAAACACAACACACTTTGTCGTCATTCAAATCCATTAACTGAATCGTCTGCTACTTGTCACATATTCGTTTTTTTTCCCCTTTCTCTTCTGCCCAGATGCTAGCCCAACGCAGGAAGGCAGGCAAACTTGCGTCCGCAAAAGCCTAGTATGCGCCTTAACTTTTGCCTTCATCATCAGCGTCCTGCTCATCGCAACCAATCAGTTGCTGCGAAATGAGTTTCAGCCTTAGCCGCTACTTAACCGCCATTACCACCCCAAATAAAAAAAAAAACAAAAAAAAAAACAACAAAAACAAAAACAAAAAACAGGTAATGCTTCTGACAATTACACAACTGATCACCGTATAAGTGCAAAAAAAAGGTAAAAGTTGAGGGTTGGTTGGTGTGAGGTCGGGTGTTTAACATATCGTTCTTTGTAATAAATATATTCAGTAACTTTCAGCAGTTTTCAAAATAGTGTCCGCTTTAAAGAGCAGGGTGTCAAGTCCTGTCGGTGTCAGTGTATTACTATATGAGGTTTATTATAAAAGACTAGAGCAAAATGTGGCGCTTTGGCCCAGAGGCAACGTCCCTGTCATTGGTGTACTAACCGCCCTAACCGGCAAGTTTGAATCCCGGTTAGAGCGGTTAGTACCTTCCAGTGGACTCACCACCTGCAGGAAGATTTAGGGGGGGTTGTTACGGTGCAGTGTGATTTGGGTGGCGGCTGCTGCCCCTGTGACCCGGTAACAGATAAGTGGATGAAAATGGATGGATGGATGGATGGACTAGAGCAAAATATGTCGCGTTTTCAGCAGCACCTGTTCAAGGGAACGTCTTTTTGAACGAGGTGCAGAGTCATTTAAAGTCATGTTTTTGGAGGCAAAAAAGTTCCGAAATCACTTACTATTAGAATTAAAATAACTGGACAGGAAACAGGGAGAGTACAACAATGTGGACATCGCTCCAGCCTGATGCACAGGTGACTGGAGTATATTAAGAAAATTATTTTTTTAAAAAGTGTTAAACTCTCTCAGTCACCACCTTGGGAGGAGGGGGCGGGGGGACGGGGGGCACGCTCCAGAGTTTGACCATCATCTGTGCATAAAGTGCATGGATTTAAGCAGGTGTCTTGACTCATTTATAAAAGTTATAAATCTTTATATTCTTTATAACTGTATTCTCACTCAACGTCAACTGTGAGCAAATTACTTGTGATGGAGGTTCACCAGTGATCACAGCCAAAGTTAAACTGCATGGTTAATTAAGGGGTTCTTAGATACAAGCTCATAGATAAAAAAAAAAAACATGCAAAATATGCATCAAAATTGGTTTTGGAACTAAAAAAAAATGCGGAGGAGATATTTACGCTTTTTTTTGGTTGTTTGTTTGTTTGTTTGAAAGCTTTGCTATAATGCAATAACTGTGATAAATGCATTTAAAACAATGCTAAAACAAAAGACCTGCTAACTGCTACGAGTTTTTCTACAGCACTTTTAAATTGAGGGGTTTGGCAATACCGCAGAGATGCTAAAGAGCCGAGGTTCTTTTCAGTGAGGTACTAGTGGTTGGAATAATAACCTACTGGGGCCAAATTGCATAAAATGTTGCAATAAAATAAAAAGCTCCTCGTCGATTTGTCTGTATGTAGTTTAGGGCGTCGTGCATCTGCAAGTACGTGGCTCGCGTCTCTTACTGTTAATGTATGTTTGTGAATATTACTTAACTTTAACCAAAGCTTTGATGGATTTTGCGACGACTGAACCGGACTTCAGCTTAGTAACAACCGATGCACTACCACGCAGAACCAGAACCAAAGTCTTAACCGCGTGGCTGAACAGCTAACGGAAGTTCGATTCCGTTAGCTGTTCAGTTAGCTATAATTAGCACGTAGGTGTCAGATTTTATGCCTTACCTGTTTAAATGCAACAACTGCATAACTATCACACCATGTCCCCCTGCTGTTACTGGACTGTATTACACAGGACAGTAAACAGTAAACAGTAAACAAAAAGGTTGAACAGCATCACTCCATCAGAGGAAACTGATTTTGAGAGCAATATAACATTTTTTTCATGTGGTTTTGTCAAAGCTGATGTCTTTATAACTAATTTCAGGCAGTCGAAGAAAGAAAAAAAACAAAAAACAAAAAGCAAAAAAAACCCTCTCCCCTGTCCTTTGACTGTGATGTTTAACTGCAGGATTACAGATCACTCAAAAGCCCACCGTGCACTGTGGACAGAACTTGACACTCAAAAGACAAGACAAAAGACAGCATTAGATTTACGTTTCTTTTGTTTATATACGATTTACATTTATCAGGACCAGATGAAACCACATTGAATCATTTTGCTGCTAAAACTGCAATTCAACAATGTCTTTACACCACAAATTGTGTGAAGCTGTGAATATGAACCACAAAAGTTCCAGATATATTTTTTTTATGTCAAGGGCAGGGGTCACCAACAAGATGCCTGTGGTCACCGGGTAGCCCCCGTGGACTACCTAAAGTGCCTGTGGGGTATGTTGTAAAAATGGAACTAGTCAACAAGTTATTTAGTTAGTTAATCCTCTTGCTCTTTGTGGGAGCATATCTAGTTTTAACCTTTTACCAGTTTTCTCTTTTTTTTGGGGGGGGGGGGGGCTAAATGTTGAGTTTCATCACAAAAGAGTTAACAGTTAGACATAAACTGAGCCAATCATACTGTTCAAAAACACAGGAAATGTGAATATTTACCTCTCAGTATTGCCTCTAGCAGGACGTAGATGCAACCCAGACTAGATTATTAACCAAAGATGGGCTGATGCAACTGTACAATATGTCAAAAGTGTCAGATTTTTTTAAATCACCCAAAACACGCAATTATTAGCAAACCTCTGATGTAAAGCTTTTGTTTTCATTTTTGCACTTTATGTTGTGCTCGTGGGCACAACAACAACAACTCAGCGCCGTGATTGTCAATTGTTTCTATTGTTACTATTTCAAGTACAAATTAGTCATATAATGACGTTGACATAAATGTCTATTTTTGTGAAGATATTGTGATAGATTTTGATGACATATATAGCTGTACCGTTTGTCTACTAACACTGCTGGGGGAACAGTTTCCTAGTGGCACAGAATATTAATAAATGGAATTGTTGCCTTATTCTCTGAGCTCTTGATGTTGTGTGTAAACGTATGATCAGATGTTCAGTATCACAAAAGTGAATGTTCCATATAGTAATTTTTTTCTCTTGACAGAAGAAGAGGTTAAACAAAACTGTCCGCTGAATGTTCTTTGCATTGTAATGTATTTCGCTACTTGTCTTTGCAGGTTTATTGATGTTGTGATTATATGTTCATTGACTTCAGCCTATGTAACTGTAACAGTATTTCACCCAAATAAACTCACAAGGTTAAAACTTCTGGACTTATTTTGATTTTTTTTTTTGTCATATACTCTTAATAAAATTTTTTAATGCATAGTAAAGATAAAAATGTACGACTTTTTAACGTAGCTTTACCATCAAATTTTATAAAAAATTAGGGGTCGTACATTTTTTCGTAAATTGACGATAGAAAATACACAATACAAATGAAGGATACAAAATAAGCTGTTTTTTTATTGTAAATTTATAATACAATTCACAAGTTTTTTTATTGGATATGTTTGACATCTTCTATTGTGAAATTAAAAATAAAATCTATGAATTCTAACCGCAAACTTAAAAGATTGTACATTTAAATGACACTTCATTATCAAGTGTGTGTGTTTTTATACTAAAATGATCATATAATACATTTCAGAATGTGCTATAATATTTTTCATTATACATTTATCATAAAATTTATTTCATCACAAATTCCACATTTAAAAATAGCCTTTTTTTATGCATTTCAGAAAAACGTATATATATTTATATATATATTTAGAGAACATTTATTGAATTTTTAATTTTTTATTAAAGTTTTTAGCAAAATCTAAACTTTTTGTGTGATTTTTGGTCAAATTTTAATAAATCTTGAAGACTTTTGTAAAGATTTTTCTAAAATTATTTTTCAAAATTCCACCTTTACTCCATGTTTCTCAGCAAATTAGGGCACATTTTTAACATATTTCTTTGTGAAAATCTGAACTTTTCATGTCATTTAGATGAAAACCTTTATAAAATTATTTTTCAAAACTGTATCTTTTCTGCATGTTAGATTTATTCAATCACTCTCTAAAGTTCCTTACAATTTACTTTACATGTAAAAACAAAGGGTTTGAAGGAGTCAAGGTACCAACCAGGAATGAAATTAGACCTCAATGTCCATCACTTCTTCTATCTTCACCAACTAGAACATTAACAATTACTACTACTTTAGTCAAGTTAGAAATTCTACTTGTCTTTCACAAGAAAGGACTTTTTAATGATAACCACATGGCTTTAACTGCCAGAGCTTCCTCAGGGTTTAGGTTTAATGGTGGAAAACTCTAGCAGCAGATGCTTGAAAAGGTTTGTACTTGTGTATCAGCCCAAGGTGCGATCAACAGACCAATCACAGGGTGCCAATTCCAAGGATTTAAATTGCAAGTGTTCACCCATTGAAAACATTTGCATGTGCAAGAGTTTGACTTTAGCTTGTGCCACTCTTTGAAACTGTTTACAGTTTCATTATTTGCCCATTCATAAACTTTGAAATGAATTACCACCTGGTAGGGTGACTACCTCCAAACCAACAAAATGCGGGACAGGTAGCAGGTTTTCGAGGGACAATAACTGACAGTCGCAATCATTTAAAGCTAACCCCACCCCCCAACCCCTTTTTATTTTACCAAGTAACATGCACGTAACTCACCTTTTACATCCAACAAAACAACCAAAAACTCTATACCATAGGTCCCAAGACATAACCCAAACCTGAAAAGTACACACATTTTGCAACATATTTATCGATGCAATAATCTTAATTCTTCCACACTGAACATAAAATAAGCAGATAAGGCACGTCAAAATATAATAATAATAATAATAATAATAATAATAATAATAATAATAATAATAATAATAATAATAATAATAATAATAATAATAATAATAATAATAATAATAATAATAATAATAATAATAATAATAATAATAATAATAATAATAATAATAATAATAATAATAATAATAATAATAATAATAATACGAATAAATTTTATTTAAAAAGCGTCTTTCAGGTCACTCAAGGACACTTTACATAAAATAAAATAAAAACAGATAATAATTTAAAACAGGGCATAGAAACACGACTGAAGGCTCTGGCTCCCATAGTACTGAGGCGGGCGGGTGGGACGGAGAGGTGGATGGAGGAGGAGGATCTGAGGGGCCGAGTGGGGGTTTGTTGATGTTGCGGAGGTGGAAATAAGCTGTGCGGGTTAAAGAGTTTATATGAGCCTGATAGGAGATTGTGCTGTCAAGGATGACACCCAGACTCTTTACCTGACGGGAGGGGGAAACTGTGGAAAGGTCAATGGTGAGGGTGAAGCTGTTGAGTTTAGAAAGAGTAGTTCTGGTGCCAAGAAGGAGGATTTCAGTTTTATTGCAATTTAATTTGAGAAAATTTGCAGTGAACCAGGATTTAAGTTCAGAGAGGCAGGCGGTGAGAGACGGGGGGTGGGAGTGTGGAGTTGGGTTTGCAGGAGAGGTAGAGCTGGGTGTCATCCGCATAGCAGTGGAAATGGATGTTGAATGTGCGTAGATTAGTATGACCTGATGTCAAGTCAAACTATTTCAATGTAAACAGGTTTGTAAGGTAAACAACTCCTGTGGATTATATGGACATCTGGGACCAAAATATGAAAATTAAAAATACTCCCCCGCCACCAAACCGATTCAGCATCACAATCCTAGCAGGTGGCAGATCAACAGCCTTTCTCTGCCCTATGAATAAGCATGTTTCTGACATACCTTGGTAGCAGAAAAGCAACCAAATGTTAAAACCGACAAGATTCGTTGACCATGACTATATATTCTGCATCATTGTAGAACTCTATACAACTACCTACAGAGTGGAGATAACCAAACCTCCCTTGAGGTTTGAGATTTTTACCAATATGCACATCTCAGTGTCATTTGGTTCGATTTGAAACTCGTGCATCGTGTCATTTCCGAACAGAATCACCACCGCGTCCGACAAAAAAAGCGTTTTTACACAACTTCAGAATCTCCATCCACCGATTTCAGCCAAAAGGTGGCGTCATCTTTTTTTCAGCACACTACACATAGACACCTTCATGGTATCGAAACAACAGCGCGCTCTATGTTTTCGGACGCTAAAGTGTTTACGATTGACTTGATTGATTTGATTGACACACCACTCAGCCTGTCAGCTACCGCCTTATCCACGAAGTGACATATCGTAGTTATGGACTGCACTGATAGGCTGCCCACAGACAGTCAGGCACATAAAATGGTGGGTTTTTAATTAAATAATGTCGAATGAAAAAGTTGGACAAAATCTTCAATTTGCGTGACGCAGGACAGGTGGTCACCTAGTCCTGACACTTCACCTAAGCAATCAGGCACAAATTGAAAATATCCAGCAACCAAGAAACCAGAAATTTGGATCGAGGGGAAGGCATCACAACAGTCACATACGTACACTGTGTACATCGTGATGACTGAAGGAACATTGAGCACTAAACACTATATTGAACAGTACAAATATATAT